GTACTGAGAGACAAGAGAACAGAATTTTATTCATGTGTATGAGTGAAGTGCAAGCATAGCGCAGGGCAGAGTGCTGTGGAGCACATTTGGGTCTTTGTAGGAGCTCTGTGCATCAGCATGAGCACATCAGACTATTTTACGCCCACATGAGTGATACAGTACATTGCACTGAAAATTTACTCATTAGTGTGCAGCCAAAAGTGAGCTTTTGCGAGTTCTACTTCTCCACAAAGCTGGACTTGCTTCTCTCTGCTATTATAGTGTAAAGTTACAACACAAGGGCAGTCACATGCAAACCGAGTAAGGAGCAATGTGCAGTGTTAAACTTTGTGAAGAGCCAAAAACAGGACATGCTGTTATTGTGATTAAGAGTCCACAACGGCTTAAGAAGAGGATGGACATCAACATGAAACCCAGAGATTTTGAGGAGAAGCAACCTCTAGTTTTAGAAGTCTTTTCCCTTCAGCTTACCAGTTTATTTTTCTCTTTCTGCATCAAGGCTGCCTCTATTATTGAGTGAAGTTATGAAACCCATCTACATTCTTAACCAGCTCTCAGGTGAATGTTGGGGACAGGAAAAGGTGTGTTACTATAACAACCAAGTCAAAGGAGGAGTTGTCTGACTTTTGACGTGAACAGCTGAGTCTGTTGAGGAGGGGGACGGAGCAGAGGAGGATGAGTAGGAGGTAGAGGAGTCGGCATGAAAGGCTCTGCATGTCTGCCTGTGCTAAAGAGGCCTTTTGCTGCAAAAGCTTAACTTCTTTTGTGCCCTTTTGTTTGCCTTTCCTTTAATAGCAAGGCTTTTCTAACAAATCAATGCTGTTATACAACAGGTAGTCAGAGAGCTCCCTTTCTTGTGCCATCAGCATCTCCCTGCTGCATTAGGTGCTACTTAAACATTTTCATTCTATGTTTTCCAGCAGAATTACATAACCCCAAGACTCTATCCGGGTTTCATTTTTTGCCAGTTCCACATCAATCTTTGGACAGAGTTTTTCAAAGATAAATGTTTATTCATCTATATTTGAACAAGGTTAACTCGATCCAATTTGAAGCATTTGGACTCGAATTTTGGAAAAACAGAAATAAATCAGAATCAAAACTCAGGCTCTCACAGGCTGCTTACAGTTTGTAAGCTTTGATTAGCACTAAGCAGAACTCCAGAAACCCATTGATAATATCTGTCACAGTGGAATAAAGTGGGAGCTGCACCCTGGGATTGAAGAGACCCAAATTCAGAATCTGTGGCTTGCGTAGTCCATTGACTGTCAGCTTAACATCTGGCGCTGTGGGTATCCACAACAGCCTGCAAAACAATGTGCCTCAAGTGTGAGATTAAATGCATGCTCCCTAAGGTCAACGTAGACCATCTGAGTTGATAAATCCTTTCTCTCCAGAGAAGCTGGAGCCTGGAGGGCACTAACACGCACAACCAACTGCTAAAAACACAAACCTCTGCAGTGTGTATGCTAAGTCTGTTAGTAGGGCTGGGCGATATGACCCAAAATTCATATCTCGATATTTTTTAGCTGGATGGCGATATAAGATATATATCTCGATATTTTTTTAAGCCATAAAGTAAGAACAAAAAGAGAGTTCTTAGTTAAAGCTGTGTCCCAGATGTCACACAGGCACTTTTATTAACATACAGCACAGATGTACATGAAAAATTACTCAAAAATAAATTATGAGCATTCATTAAATAATAATGCTCCATAAATAAAATAAAACAATGTTGTTTTTGTGCATAACAAAGAGCTCACAATTGGGCAGTCAAAATGTAAACTAAAAGACGCTGAGCGTAATAACAAAGACAGACAGATTTCACAGCAAAAAAAAGTTTTACTGCGTGACTGACAGCCTGGAGTTTGAAATCCGCTTCATAACCACGTACGTCTCTTACAGGTGCTATTTATGGTCCTTATACACACACAATATGGTAATATTACGTTGGAGCACAGTACGTATCACTCCGCGAGGCTCCTCGGTAGCCGCAATGCGCCGACAATCTATCAAGCGGTGCAGCTCCTTAGCTTACCAAAATCGTACTCAAACATTTTTGACAGATTGCTGAGCGCCGCGTACCACATAAAATCGGTTCGCGGCCATCAAGCACAACCAGAATTCATACATAAGGCGCGCTGTCAACTTTTGAGAGAATGAAAGGATTTTAGGCTATGCAGCCCGTAGGGACTAGCGCAGTTAGCTCGTTAGCATGGTTAGCTCGTTAACACGTTGACGCCGTCCAGCCCCACGCATGGGGCGATGCGCAGTAACTCGTTAACGGAGATTTGCCGTGTCCATCTTGTCGCTGCCTGCACGTGAAGCGATGGGGGAGGAGGGGGAGTTGTGTTCAGTGAAGGATAGAGGCGAGGCGGAGTAATGTTGCGTAGAGACAAAAGTAGACGAAAGAGAGGCTCCACAACTATAAGTATAACGTAACATAGACTATATCGATATAAAGGATATTGTCACATCTTATATCTCGTATAAAAATATATCGATATGTTTTAAAAACTCGATATATCGCCCAGCTCTATCTGTTAGCTTCTTGTAGTTTCTTTTAGTTTTTGTCTTTTTTGTGTGTTTTCTGCAAACTACAGAATTGCCTGTGTATCAGCTTCAGTGACTTTGGGCATTTTCTTATCACCAGCACTGTGATAAACTTATTTTCAACCAGTTTTGATTTTTGTGTTCATTGATTGAGAGCCATTTGTTTATCAAACATTTAGAAATACAACATAAATGGTAAGAAAGGTGACATACTCACTGTCTTATATTACTGCTATAACCACACTACTTTTGTTTGCTGCATACCCAAATTTGACATGGATGGCATTCTAAAAGGGGATAACGTGGTTTTCAGATAATTATTTGGTTTTGTTGCTATAGAAAATGTTTAATATGTAATATTTTTTACCCACGAGATAATTAACTTGGTCACTGTGCTATTTGGTGCCTGGTCAATGTGTCAGAAAAAAAACAGTATTCGCTTGCCGAAAGATCAGCAGAGAGTGCTTGCTTCTTTCTGCTAGAAAAAGGTTTCATAAGAGAGGAGCGTGCCAGCCCATAAACCAAAACTAAAATTTAAAACAGACTAAGAAGCCCCAGGGAGCTGCAGCATCGAATAATATCAGTGCTGGGTTGTTCTACAGCAACATCTTTCACATGACCTGAAACAATTTGGCCAACTCAGTTGACCCGTTTGACAAAATATCCAACATCAGAGGAGTAATTCCAAACTAAAATGGAATCAGAAAACATGGAGTAAGAACAAAGGAAGCCTGATTTCTTTCTTTAGTCTGTTATACGACGGAAAATACTGCGAGCGTAAACAGCTGAGAAGACAAACAGCTGTGTCCAAACTGATGCCACAACCTCAAGCACTCAGCCTGTGTCAAGCAGTCATAATGATTTTTTTCTGTGCTGACAATAACGATCCATTAATTCAGCAAAAACTTGAAAATTACAGATACTGTGACTTTATTTGACTTGGCAATTTCAGTTAACAATAACACAACCCCCATCCCCCTCAAAGTGCCGCTCATCTGTCCTGCCAAAATAAAGATACGCAACACTGTGCAACATCCCGAGGGCTCCTGACTGCGCCAGTTCACATAATCCCAGCAGAGCACACACACATGCGCACGGGCAGTCTCTCATCCAAACACTCATTCCAGGTATTCAGAGGTGAAACAGCACGTATCTGCTGCCCCGTCTACCCTCTTTAGCGAACCATTGCGTGTGAGCCCCTCTTCTCCTGCCTTTGGCTAAAATTAGACTTTTCTAACTTCTGTCCACGCCAGTTTAATGAACGCTGACAGGAGGTGAGAGCAGATTTGGCCACAATTATGTCCAAGCACAACGGTGGACAATGGACAGCGTATCATCAGCTTTAATTATGTCAGCATTTTAGGATGCTGCACTGCAACATAAGTCATGAAGCAGTCCTCCATGTGCCTCCTCTCATTTCTTTTTCCATTATGTCCTCCTGTCTATTAGGATAGCAGCAGCAAGTCCAAAATACCCTGGCATGCTGCGCAATATATAAATAAAAACATAACGTAATGACTTACTAATTATTTAGACACCATATTTTCAGCCTTGTCTCTTGCATACTGAGATTTCTCCAGATTCTTTAGACATTACCTAATGGAGGTGCAACCCTAATGTCTGATGACATCAGACGTTTTATGGTTTTTAAGCCTGTGTGATACACATGGGAGTAGCACTGGTGAATTTACAGCAACAAGTGGGCATAATGTGTCTGACTCCTACTCGCTCTGCCCAAGCAGAGCCCCTAAATAAACCAAACAGAATATTGGGTGAGTTTGAAACAGAAGTTGATGTTTGTTCGTTGCCCAAATTTGAGGTCTGTAGTGAAATTGCAGTGGGCACAGTGCAAGGGAGTGATCTAAAAATAAAAGCTCAAAGCTGGCCAATAAGATGACCCTGAAGAGAAATCCAGAAGGATTTTAGATAAGGTTTACGATTTTAGAGACATGCTCCAACAAATATTTGATCCATGTATTTATAATAAATAAATTATAAATGTATCTGTAGAATTTACACTTAAATGATTTGCAAATAACCGTTTCCTGTCAAGACTTTTATACATTGAACTTGATATGGAAACATGGTAGCAGTCTTAGTCCTTTCTGCTGGATTATCTCACTCTAAAACAAACACTCAAGGATGTCTGCAGCACCATCAAGTATATGCAATCAAATAATTGTATGCAAACAAATTGAGACACACACACACACCTTTACCAAAGGCCTTTATGATTAAGTAGGCTGGTATCAAGATCCCACAATGTTTGTGGATTTATGAAAAGGATTAATTGGCACATGTTTAAAGATATCTCTATGGTTACCAAGCCCAGGTAGCCTGCCTATGCTTTTTTACTGATTGCTCTTCTAATTTTCATTTCCACATTCATTAATTTAATTGTTTTATTTAAATGCCATCGTTGTAGTGCTTACATTGCACACACTTACATCTTTGATGAAATATTCCAGGGTGGCATAGGCGATGGCAATTCCATCATGGGTGCTTGTGCCCCGTCCCAATTCATCAAGGATGACCAATGACTGCTTGGTCGCACGGGAAATTATGTCTGAGGCCTCTGTCAGCTCTTCCATGAATGTACTGCGGCCTTTGTAGATGTTGTCTGAAGCTCCCATCCTGATCAATCAGAAAAGGGGAAAAAAGACAGAAAATAAGTCAACCATAAAGTGAAACACGATATTTTTGTCTTTTGAGCATTTCAGTTTCAATCACAGAGTCAAACATTTTTGTGGTACGACATCGCAGACTACACAATAAATTACTGGTTAAATGCCAGGGACTCCCGGCCAACCAAAACCAAATAAAAAATTACATGTTTACTTGCGGAAACTTTGTGGTGATAGCATTGCATTATAGTGACTGACAGTTTGACAGTCATGTGGAAACTAAATACACCTTTACCGTTTCCATAGGAGTTAAGAGGATAATTAAGAGCACTGTGCTGCTAATCAAAAGTACTCAAAGTAATCATCACTGACCACCTCTGTGAAAGCACAAGTTTTGGCAGTTTTTGCATGATGCCATTTAGCAAAAACCAAACACCACACATCAAAACTGACTCAAACAATTCAAAGCAGAGCAGCAAAGGTGCCACAATGGTCCAGTCAAAATCCAGACTTCAGTTCAATGGAAATGCTGTAGCGGGACCTTAAAACCACTAAGTGTAAATGAATGATGTCAATGAAGTGAAGCAACATTGTAAAAAAAAAAGAAAAAAAGAGTGGACCAAATTACTCCACGATGATGTAAGACACCGATAAAGAAAGTGATTACCTGTTTAAGCTAAAGGTGGGATGTTCTTAGTTTTTCCATAGGACTGCATAGTGTACTGTGAACCTTTTTTTTTAAAACTTTTGGCCGTTTTCTCATTTCCCATTGGGTCACCACAGTGGATGGCTGCACATGTTTGATCTGGCACTAACTTTTCCCCTTCCTGATGTAATGCTCCCATTTATCCAGGCTTGGGATTAGCACTGGGAGTACACTAGCTTGTGATGTGAAATGCCCAAGTAAGCACTGTGAGCCTCCAAATGTTAATGATTTTTTTTTTAAATTATTATTGAGTCAGCCTGCTAACAAATAATTAATAAAAACATGTCTTTTTCAGGTAAGCTATGGACTTAACCATATGTTGAGGTCATGGAAGAAAGCATTAAAAGACAGATGTGTTTAAAAACAGAAAACAAAAGACTCAAACTCAAGTTGCAATAATAAAAAACCAAAAAAAAACTACTGATGCCACTAATGCAATCCACAATTATGGACTGCAAACTGCTGTTGTTCTTCCAGAAATCCCACAAACACCCACAAACAAACAAAGAATCTGCCATTTTTCTCACAGTGAACCTGCTCCTACACAGTCTTATTCTAGGAGAAACATTTCTGCACTCAAAAAAAGAACAAGAGATTGAAATGATGGGTGTGAAAAATGCAGGAGAACAACAGTGGGGGGCTCCTTTTCTGAAATTGAACAGAAGAAGAAAGAAATCAAACCGTTTTAAGACGTGGCTGATGGTGTAAAGGATTTAAATGAATTCTTTAATCTCATTTATTCACACATTATGGCCACACAGATATTAAAACTAACTCTAAGGTTTGCTTCAACATTACTCACATTTAAACGAGTCATAATCAACTCTTATCATTGTTAAAAGCATTTAGTGGACGGGCTGCTGCACCTATAAAAGATTAAAGACTATAATAACACACTTTTTAATATCTCTGTGACAGTCACTTCTCCTGTTTTCTGAAGAGGGGAAAAAGGTTGCATCCATCAGCATGAGAAGAGATGACCAGTATGACCAGTATGACCACTTAGAAACAAGAAACAGTCATTTCAGCAAACCTGACAGAAAAAAGTACAAACATTTGAAATCACAATACCAAAATGTTCTTGTTATATTACAACAATTTATTAGAAAAGACTGAAGAATACATCAGTGACGCGAACTCAGCATGCAACAAGACCACCTATATTTCCACAATAATAGAAACGTACTGATTGGAAATGCTATGACAACGTGTTGAATTCTTCACAAGCTACAAGGCCAATTTGAGAGCTCTTGCTTTCACACAGACTGACAGACAGATCATTGACTCATCTGATAGAAACTCGACTCCAGCTGGATCACAGATGCCACATCTCTCTGGCAGTCGGTGTTTCTCACCACTAAATCTGTCTCTTCCTGTTCTGCTCTGTGTCTATGAATGAAACTCCAACAAGAGCATCTAACACCTGTGTTGCCATGGTTACACCACGCACCCTGTGGATGAGAGGTGTGGCAGACATGTTGCTGCATTTTATTAGCCAGTTTATTAGATCCCAAGTGATGAATTAAATGTCCATTATCATCACAGCTAGCCTGAGACTGGCACATATGTTTCCCCATGTACAGCATTATGAAAACCATTTTTAAAGGAATATAATGAATTAAAAAGATGCTTGAGGTATATCGGGTGTTCGTTACAGAAAAGTAGGACTCTGACTATGTTACTTGCAATATTCTCACTATTGTCATATAACTAAATTGCTGGCAGTGCAGTCTGTATTGCAAGACTGGTTGCTCAGAGACACATGGTGCTGTACCGATAACGTCCTTCCAATTACTTTGGTCACCAGGAAGTTACTGCGGTCAGTTGTAGTTTGCATGGAAGACACAAATTTGTCTGCAAACGATTCACCAAGCAATAGTGAATCTGTGAGAAGTGGGAAGTAGAAGTTAAAGAAGTCCATAAGTTGCAAGAGGAAAAAAACCTTGAAGGGGAGACTGACCTAACTTAATTCAGGTATTTTTTATAGGCAGAATGCCACAACTTTTTGATCACAACTATGTTAAAACAAAAACTGGCAGAACATCAATATCCTAACTTTTCCCCCAAAATCCACTAACAGATAGGCTCTAAAATAAAGGTTGTATCTGCATGCATGATTAAAACTCAGAGGAAATGACACCAGATGTATAATGCATAGGGCAGAGCAGTTTACACACTCACTCTGTCCACAGATGAACACAGCAACACTCCACCAGCTGGGTGTCCTGCTGGTCTGATTGAGTCCTCCTTTCTAGCCAAACACACTGATCCTGGAAATAGACTCCATTTATTTTCACCTCACACCTTTCAAGTAAACATGTTGAGCTAGATTCAAGTGTTTTTCTGACACTCGTGGATCAGTCTTTAGTTAAGATTTCTTTCAAAAAAAAAAAAAAATAAAACCATCCCATATTTTAAAAGAAGCAGTGAAGCATTATCAGCATGTGTAGTTTTCCAGGAAGAAAATGAAAGCCCAAGTGTATTTTGCATGACTATTACAATCTTCTATTATACAACTTAAAAAAAAAAAAAAAAAGTTTGCTAAAAGGGAAAAAGTCCATATATTTTATTCGATTTCTTCTTAACAAAGCTGAGGGGGGGGGTGACTGTTCTGTCTGTGGGGAGGATTTTGCTGCCATTATTTTTGTTCCCTTGTAGCAACGTTTCTCAAAATTGGAGTATTAGTAATCCCAGCAGTAATCCTACAAATGCATGTGGTAGTTGGTTTTTTTAATGTTATTTTAAAAAATTATCAGAATGTCTGAATACTTCCTGACAAACACAAATCAAGAACATTGATATGTGATTGAATTCTAGCAGCAGTACCAATGAAAGCAGGGAAAGAAATGACTCACATATTTGTTTGAGCCTTCCTTTCCTACGACTGATCAAAAAACAGATAGGAACAAATGACAATGAAAATGACAAACATCTAAATTTTAAATGCAACTTATTAGGAGGATTCACTTTGCAACAACATGATTATCTTTCTGTCACTGCATGATGATTGGCTGCCCCTTGAAAACAGAGGATTTGAATAGTGGGTGAATGAGGCTTTTCACAGCCAGAAGTGTGTGTCTGACATAATCATTTAATGACGATAACTCCTCGCTGACATATTCTTACCCGGAGAAATTCTTGGGTTACTTTTTCAGTATGCTTTGGGTCATTATCATTTGCACTGGGAAGCTCTGCCCCAACAATTTTGTAGCATTGGACTGAATCTGAGCAGAAAGTACAGTCCTGTGCATTTTAGAATTCATCCTGCTACTTCTTATCAGCAGTCACATCATATATAAACACTAGTGACACAGGCCTACTGTCAGCCACACATGCCCATGCCATAACATTAACTCCATCATGCCTGACAGATGATGTGATACGATTTTGGATCATGATGCGTTTCTGTTTTTTATGCTTTCCTCATAATTCAGAAATAAGTTTATTGTAGTTTGATTTGATCAAAGATTTGATGTTTTCTAGTCTATTCTGGTCTTTGGTGGTTTGTACCTTTCTGCCAAGTATTTACATTACCTGAATGCACTCCCTTTTCATTATAATGCACCAGACAGAAGTTTTGGCAAATCTTAAAGTTTTTGCATCGCTCTAATAAGTTTATATTGGTGTTTCACCCAAAGGATTGCCTTCCTCACTTGAATAAACATCAGCTCATCAATTATTGAGGAGTCCACTGAAAAGCTGCAAAATTTATGTTCAACACTTGGAATCCAATAAATATCTTTTTTTTTCATGGAATAATGAAGGAATAAACTTCAGGTGTCCATCAAAATGCTTGTCAATCAATCATTAAATTGCTTTTGAGCCCCTGAAAAAGGTGGACTGTGTATAAAAATGGCTGAAATTCAGTTTGCGACTGAAACAGTTGATGCAACTTTTTTTCTTTTTTTTTTAAATCTCCTTGGATTAAACCTAAAGACCTACACTTCAATCATTCCTTGTTTGTCTGATTTAAAATCCACTGTGATGGTGTACAGGGGCAAAACTACAAGGACAAATGTGTCATCGTTGAAGAACTAACTGCATATGTGGACTTCAGAAGACGCAGCCACTCTGTGTAAGCCAATGGCATCCCCGCAAGGAAAAAAATATATAACAACACATGTTTTTAATCAATTTTTTTTTTTTTAAAAAAACCCTGATATAAGTATCTTAACGCTTAATATTTTGTAAATTATTTCAGGTTATTCTCAGTGTTCGCCTTACTATCCTGCTACATTTCTGCAAAATTTAATCCTGTGTGATTTAAACCTTCCAGGTTTTATAGAAAACAAAAGGCCTAACCA